AGAGTCATTTTGTTAAAAGTTTTCCAAAATTGCATCGCCAGAAAAACGCGACATGCGATTGCGTAACACCTCGAACGCACGTATCTAATTGCTTTAATTAAAATATTTTTTATGTGAAATTGTATCAGAAGAGCACAATTCATTCAAAATATTAGCTAAACTGTTTGTGAACCACAACAAACGAAAGCAAGGCATTGTAGAGTAAGCGTCGGCCTACATTGCCCACTAACTACTTATCGTATTCTACAAATCGCGACTTGTCCCCTCCGAATTTTATGAAATTTAGATTTCTATACGACCGTTACTGTAATAATGCATGTCAAATAGACGGCAATGATTATAAAACAGGCGATAAAAATGACATGAGCGGACAAAATTTGCCAACGAAACTTGAAGTTATTACTCGAAGTTGTCTAGTTCCGTAATATATAAATATTTCGTTCGCTTACGTTATTCCCGTTTGTCCCTCGTAAAATATATTTAAACGCACACAAAGCGCTCACAAATCCTCCGCTAATCCTCCGACATGATAATTTGCATGTATACTAATTTGCATTTAACTTTCAGCATAATGGCCTTCAACTTTTACTATAAAATACATAGAGTAAATATACAAAACTTAAAAATGCCGTTGCCTTAGACCTTGCCTACTGTTTGCCGACCTCTAGATCGGTAGAGCAGCTGTTTAGAATCGTTTCGGTGACCAAATTTTTTAGCTTGGGCATTTCTGCAATCTGCCAAATTTAAAAATATATTGCTCAAAGTTTTATCCGTGTTCTGTCAACGAACTTATAAAATCGCTCACATTGATTCGAATATCTCGATTCAGGTAGTTGATAAATTATTGACGTGTAATATACCAAAAAAAATTGTTAAAGATATTGTCTTTTTCTGTACGGCTCGGATTTTCACTGCAATCACTTTAAAAAATATTATCAGTCTTATCAGGAACTTGAACAATACGAAGGCTATATACACATTTGTTCACAATCAGTTGGCCGAACGTAGAAATACCTAAGGTAAGTAATTCGATCATTAAAACTTTGGGAAACGGCTGTTCTATTGACCCAGAGGTCGGCAAACAGTAGGCACGGTCTAGGGCAACGGCATTTTTAGGTTTTGTATATTTACTATATGTATTTTACAGTAAAAGTTGAAGGCCATTATGCTGAAAGTTAAATGCAAATTAGTATAAATGCAAATTATCATGTCGCAAATTTCTGGTAATGTCATATTATTCGCATGCGCGAAATTTGAACTAGTATAAGATGTAAGCAGCAACATCTTCATTGGCTAAGGCAGAAAGCTTGTATTTTATTGAGAACGTTAGCAATTATTCTAAGTCATTTCCCAAACTATTTTGCAAAAAACTCTTCACCAATTAAAATGAGCGAATTTATTTCAGCATGGGTAAATTAACATATCGATCATCGTTAACCAAATCGGATACATGCAGTTTAAGGCTGTTGTGCATGAGCGATGAACGAGGAACGATATATATTTCAGATCGATTGTACCGCTCATAAAACTTTTTTTTTTAATTGTTGCAAAAACAATTCCGAAGTACAGAAAAAATTATATTACCAAAAGACAAAATCCAGAATTAGAATAATGCAAGGTGGCTCAATGCAAGGCTTTACTCGATGTATTTTATAACAGAGCTCGAAGATCAATATGCATGATTTGAGCAAATCAATACAAAAGCCCCAGTCATTTCTTTTTCTCACTAATTTCTGGTAAACGTCAAAACGTATTTTCTTCACTTTCCGTTAAATTGCAAAAAGACGTTTACTTTTGTATGCAATACAGTCTCGATCGAATTTCTCAGTTGAAGATGCAAAATTAAATTTTAAACAAATTATTGTACTGCGTTTTTTCTTTGCCTAGTTTTTGATTTGTCGCCTGCTATTAATAGTGCAATCGCTTTTGCGATCGCTTTCTTTTGAAATGTGTTCATTCAAGATCATCTAATAGGATTAGTTCCGCTTTACTGTTTGTATTTCAAAAGAGAGCGATCGCAAAAAGTCGATCGCGCAATATTTTGCACTGAATGGAAATCCACCTTAAGACTCATGCAGGTTTATATATGCGAAATGAACAATGTGATGATGCTACTCTTGGTCACCACCCGAGAAAGCAGAAAAATTAGCGTGACCATGGTGGGAATCGAACCCGCGACGTTTGGTTTGCTATAACCGAATGCTCTTCCAATTGATATACAGGGTGAATCAAAATTCAAAAAAAGGTAATCAAAATTCAAGACGCTATTGCACGTGAACTACCCAGTCTATGAACCGATTTTTTTAGCATCGGAAAGATCAGGCTTTTAGCTATCGGATGCCATGCTTTTAGTACAATTAAAATGGTGAAAAAATGAACACATGCGAGGCTGGTAAAAAACACAATAGTATATTGTCACATTTGAGCATAATTAAAGCAGAGGATAACAAAAGAAAAAAAAACAATTAATCACGAACATGTCACAGGTTGCACTGTGTTGGTTTTACAACATGTTTATTGCAATTATTAACATTTACATTTAAAAAGAGATCATTCACAGAAGCCTTCAACTATAGAAGGACCTAGAATGGGTTCCGAAATATTAATTACTCGAACAGTCTGACCTAGTAGCTCAGTTCGAAGAGCGTTGAGCTTGCGAACCAAGGGTCGCGGATTCGATTCGCACTGTTGTTAAACTAATTTTTCAACTTGCCCAGTTGGTGCCCCAGAGTAGTATCATCACAATGTTCATTTGTCCTGTGGTATTTTAATTAAGAGTTCACATTGCTGTTCAAAAACATATGTTATGGTTATATTGTATATACATATGGCTAGAAATTATATATACATATACATTACCGCCTCTTGACGCACAACCAGTATTTTTAACTGATTCTCCATCAACCTGAAAGATCCACATCCCAGGAATTTCATAGTTTGATGTCAATGTGATGTTGATAATGGCAGGAGTGCGTGAGTTTGGAATATTAAAATATCGAAATCCATCCCCCGCATTAAAACCAGCCTAAAAATTGCATTAAGAAAAGCAGTTCACACGCGATCATACTGGTTCATCTGGGTCCATGTATGGATCAACAGCTTCACTAGGCATGATGGACATGTGAGCAGGCTTGACATGAACTTTGACCATGACGTCATATAGGGCATGTATTAACATTTAACACCAGCACATAATTAGTGAGATAGGAAAATAGAGCAAGAGAGACGGAAAATGTGTAAATGTATGTATGTATGTGATTAATGTGAAGTATCTGTTTGAGAGACTACGACAAGCTAACCTGCGCCATTATTAAGTATATGCTTAAAGGACCTCGCCACAGAAGTAAGCTATTCAATTTATATTGTTGTTTATGTAATATTATTAGGGGTAATTTAGATCACACGTGCGAACTTGATCGGAACTATATATGCATGTTTTTATTAATATTCTTTGTATTAATTTGTTCTTATTCTAGATCGAATTGTTTAATATAATTTATAATACGATTTGCGAGTTCCTTGGACACGTTCTTAAACTAAAATTGTGCTAACCGGTCGTCTTGGTTCCGACCAAACACTATTCGATTTCTTGCTGACCGCGATTCAAAGGAATTTGAGACGAACATTATTATATTGATATTGTGCACAGACGACAGACAATATGTCACAAGAAAACAGCGGCGACGCAATCAAAGGGGCTAAAATGAAACAGTAAAGCAGCGTTAACGCGTCTCGGAAAGGTCATTACTGTTCAAATCGCAGGAAAACGCTCAAATGATGAGATTCAAAAAGCGCTTGATAATTATGAACATGCGTTCGCAGATTTAGAAGCCAAACACGAAGCAATGACCATGCTAATCGAAGACGACAGACAGTTTGAAGAAGAAGAGCGGTATATTGAACAATGTCAGGAAACCTTTTTGCGTTTAAAAATTGATGCGCAAGATTATATGAAACAACAGACAACATTGCCCGAGAGGCAATACGAGACTGTCGAACCCGAAGGACTCGCAGCGGGAAGCGAAAATAGTTCAGCGGAAAATGTCAATCAGAGAGGTGTAACTCCGGTCGGTGAAAATAATCATATATCATCGCAACGTGAGGAGAATCAACCCGAAACAACGTCACCGTTAACCCAAGAAACCCTGAACGATGTTGTACCACCCAGTATATCCATGAACGACTCATTCAACACAACAGAGAACAGTGCCAATGTTGGGCAAACTCGTGTAAACCAAGGTGCAACCTTATTTAGAATTGAGAAGCCGAAGATGCCAAGTTTTGCTGGGGACGTGAGAGAATTTGGAACCTTTAGAGCTAACTTTAAGCACTTGGTGGAGACAAGATACAGCAAACGAGATGCGATAACAATTTTGCGATCTACTCTACAAGGAAAACCACTGGAAATGATTAAGGGAATTGGCCAAGACTATGACGCGGCATGGGACTATCTTAACTCTGTGTATGGGGACCCGAGATTTGTTGCGGATATCATCACACAAGATATCTCGAAGTTCAAACCAATAAAGGACGGTGAGGATGCTCGATTTTGCGACTTGGTTCATCTAGTAAAGCGAAGCTTCAACACCCTGAGAGAAGTAGGACGAGAGAATGATATGAATAACAATCACATGCTAGCCATCATTGAACAGAAAATGTTTTCGGATGATCGAAAAGTCTGGTCACGGTATCTAGAGAGCACAAAGAGCGAAGCCACACTGGAGGAGCTAATTTCCTGGATGACGAGTGAGATGAAGTCCAGAATGAGGGCTACCGCACCACTGAGAAGTTCATGACAGTCGCCAAAACATGTAGGACATGTAGCCGGAAGAGAAGGTGGGAAGCCAACAAACCATAAATGCTGGTTTTGCAAGACCTCAGCACACTGGACTGACCAATGCCAAACGTTCCTCGCCTTAGATGCCAGCGAACGGTTTAAAGTTGTCAAAGAAAATCATGCTTGTTTTAGCTGTCTAAAACGAGCTGGTCGTGGCCACAACATGTCAACTTGTTCTCGAAAACGTCAGTGCAGTGAGAATATCAATGGAGCCCAGTGCAAACATTACCATTATCCACTATTGCACAATGCAAACGCGTTGGTCTTCTCATCGGTTGCAACAAATGGAGAGAATATGTTACCTACGGTTCGGGCAGAGATCCTGGGAGCAAATAACGTCAAGAAAGAAGCTAATTTCTTACTAGACACTGGCGCTCAAATCAGCTTGATACGGACATCGGTTGCAGAGGAACTTGGGCTTAAGGGGAAAAGGGTCAACATTACCATAGCAAAAGTCGATGGTGAAGAAAACGAGATGACAACAAAGATGTATCGATTTTCAATTCGATCCATCCAATCCCAGCCGTAGGAATTCCGAATATCAGCAGTGATATGTCTGTAACGAAGATCGATAACGTAGCTAGAGCCTTTGGTATTCGAAAAGAGGAAATACGGAGAGGAAGTGGTCCAGTTGATGTTTTCTTAGGAATTGATCACCCAAAATTCCACACCGGTGAAACTAGAGAAGCCAGCAATCTTGTCGCAAGACAGTCACCATTGGGATGGGTTGTCTTTGGAGCAACATCGGAAAAGAGCGACAATGTCAACCAAGTCTTCCATATCAAGTGTTCGAACCCGATCGATATGAGTGACTTTTGGACGACAGAATCGATGGGCGTGGAAGGGAAAACATGTTCATGCGAGAGCAAAAAGTTAAGCCCAGTTGAAGCTTACGAAGCCAAAATTATAGAAGAGAGCTGTCAAAAGATTGGTAAACAATGGTTAATTCCATACCCCTGGGTCAAAGATGCAAAAGAACTACCGGATAACCAAAGCCAAGCGAAAAGGAAATTGGAAACTACTGAACGTCGTTTAGCCAAAAATCCAAACCATGCAGAAGCGTATGACAAACAGATGAGAGAATTGAACGAAATGAACTTCTCTAGAAAAGTATCAAGTGAAGAATTAAAGACGTACAAAGGACCAATCCATTACATATCACACCACGAGATCGTCAAACCCGAGAAAAAGAGCACCCCCATACGAATTGTTTTCAATTCCTCAGCATCGTATAAAGGGCACCGCTTGAACGACTATTGGATGAAAGGACCCGACTTACTGAACAATATGTTAGGAGTGCTTCTACGATTCCGAGAAAACAAAGTGGCTATCAACGCAGATATATCCAAGATGTATCACAGAGTCCTAATTCCTGAAAGAGACCAACATGTGCATCGATATCTTTGGAGGAACATGGAAACGAATCGAGAGCCGGATGTTTATGTGAAAACAGTCTTGACATTCGAAGACAAACCTGCACCAGCAATGGCACAGACCGCTCTGCAGAAGACCGCCGAAGAAGGACAGAAACGCTATCCCGAAGCAGCTGAAGTCATAAGAAAAAACACCTACATGGACGACATATGCGATTCCGTGAACTCAGAAGAAGAAGCTAAGAAAATCACGGCAGAAATTGATGAAATCCTTCGCAACGGTGGCTTTAATGTCAAGGGCTGGATATCAAACCGACCATTGAAGAAGGATAAAGAAAGAACTGTTAAAAAAAAGGAATCGGACTTAAAGCTCCTACATGGTTCATGTGAAGAGAAAGTCTTGGGAACGGTCTGGGACCATTACGAAGACGCATTTGGGTTTAAAGTAAATACTCCTGAACTGACCAAATTTACGAAGAGAGTAATTTTAAGTCAAGTAGCTCGAATCTACGATCCCCTGGGAGCAGCTGCAGCTTTCCTGATTCGTGCCAAAATAGAAATGCAAAAACTCTGGCTAGAAGGATTACAGTGGGATGACGAACTACCAAAAAGACTCCAAACCGCGTGGATTCGATTCTTCCAAGAGATGAACGACTTAAACAGCGTCACCTTTGAAAGGTCCCTTACACCAGAGACAGTGATTGGAGCCCCTGCACTATGTATCTTCTCTGATGCATCGATTGAAGCCTTTTGTGCCTGCGCCTATATCAGATGGGAGATAGAGACCAACACCTTTGCAACCAGATTTATCGCAGCGAAGTCAAGAGTAGCCCCACTGAAGTCGTTGACTATACCTCGCTTAGAGCTACAAGCAGCAGTCCTGGCAGTACGATTATGTTCTTCCATTCTTGAAGAGTCTCGAATGCAGTTTGTAAAGATAATCTTCTTCTCAGACAGCCATATTGTCCTTTCTTGGATTCGAAACCAACCCAGAGAATTTAAACCGTTCGTTTCAGCTCGAATTGCCGAAATCCAGAGCAAGTCTAATCCAGAACAGTGGAGGCATGTCCCTGGGGAGCAAAATGTCGCTGATGATGTATCGCGAGGAATAACTGCACTACAGTTAACCGGCAGATGGAAGTATGGTCCCGAGTTCCTGAAGTTACCTGAAGAGGAATGACCAAACGAGTTGTCTAACGCAATTGCCAAAGAAGTTGATCAATCAGAACGCCGCAAAGCCCAAATTGTACCTGTATTGCAAGTTACTCAACCGTCAGAAGTCATCCCATGTAAGAAGTTTTCAACTTGGAAGAAACTGATTCGAGTCACCGCCTACGTGTTTCGATTCATAAAAAAGCTAAAAATCCGACGTCAAACAAAAGAGAAAACAGAAACGACCCAGCCAGAAAATAACTCAGAAGAAATTTCAATATCAGCAAAGGAGTCAGAAGACGCCGAGTTATATTGGATAAAGCAAAGCCAGACGTCACTCCATAATCGCATTAAAAAGGGAGAACTAAAGGGACTAACCCCATTCACCGATGACAACGGAACGATCAGAGTCGGAGGACGCGTAAACGAAGCCATGATATCGTACGATGCCAGACACCCGGTTTTACTCCCACGTGAACACTGGATATCGTTACTGATAACTCGTAAATTCCACCGAAACGGCCACTCAGGAGTCGCAACGACCGTTGCAAAGATAAGGAAAGCGTATTGGATCATTCGATGCCATGACCTTGCCAAATCTGTGAAATTCAAGTGCGTATGTTGCCGTCGAATGCAAGCAAAAACCGAGGAACAGTTCATGTCGGATCTACCAATCACCCGCCTGGAACCACTAACACCACCCTTTCATCGCACGGCATGCGATTACTTCGGCCCCTACCAAGTGAAAATCGGTAGAAACAAGAGTACTAAGCATTATGGCGTATTGTTTACATGCCTGAATACTCAGGCGGTTCATCTCGAACTCGCCGTCGACTATTCCGCAATGGAATTTCTGCAGACCTTACGTCGATTTTTCGCAATCCGTGGACAGCCAGCCCTGATGATCAGCGATAACGGAACGCAACTGGTGGGAGCGGAACGTGAACTTAGAGAGATGATACAAGGATGGAAAGAGGAAGAGTTGAAGAAATTCGGCGCTGACAGAGGTATGGAGTGGAGATTCATCACTCCTGCTGCACCACACCATAACGGTTGTGCGGAGGCTCTCGTCAAGAGCTCAAAGAAAGCGCTAAAGATTGCGATAGGTGAACAGATGTTAACTCCATTCGAGCTACACACGTGCCTATTGGAGGTTAGCAACCTTTTGAATCAACGTCCTATCGGAAGAATCCCCAATGACCCAGACGACGGTTCTTTCCTATGTCCCAACGACATTCTTCTTGGTCGAGCGTCAACGATGGTACCACAAGGACCATTCAGAGAAACGAAGAATCCACTTCATCGCGTCGAATTTGTCCAGAAGATAGTTGACAGCTTTTGGAAACGTTGGAGTAGAGACGTTTTTCCCACCCTAGTTCCTAGGAAGAAATGGATCACCGAGAGAAGAAATGTACGAGTAGATGATATAGTCGTGGTCCAAGATACGAATGCCGTTCGTGGCCACTGGACCACAGGAAGAATTGTTGGAATGTACCCTGGCAAAGACGGAAGAATTCGTAACGTGAAGGTGAAAACATCGGTATCCGACTACGAAAGACCCATCACAAAGATAGCAGTGCTGTACCCTTCCGAAGGATACGAACATTAATTGATGAGGAGAGTCCTCATCCGGGGGGGGGGGAGTGGATCAACAGCTTCACTAGGCATGATGGACATGTGAGCAGGCTTGACATGAACTTTGACCATGACGTCATATAGGGCATGTATTAACATTTAACACCAGCACATAATTAGTGAGATAGGAAAATAGAGCAAGAGGGACGGAAAATGTGTAAATGTATGTATGTATGTGATTAATGTGAAGTATCTGTTTGAGAGACTACGACAAGCTAACCTGCGCCATTATTAAGTATATGCTTAAAGGACCTCGCCACAGAAGTAAGCTATTCAATTTATATTGTTGTTTATGTAATATTATTAGGGGTAATTTAGATCACACGAGCGAACTTGATCGGAACTATATATGCATGTTTTTATTAATATTCTTTGTATTAATTTGTTCTTATTCTAGATCGAATTGTTTAATATAATTTATAATACGATTTGCGATTTGCTTGGACATGTGCTTAATCTAAAATTGTGCTAACCGGTCGTCTTGGTTCTGACGAAACAATGTATGAAAATGCATGAAAAAGCCAAGGTGGGAAACCTATTTCGTGATCAGTACTAATTCTATGTGTGCGGGCCAGTGTTCACTAGTACTATCATACGACTGCAACGATAAGTTCAATGATAAAGACTCTAAAAACCTATGACTGAATCTCAAGAAATGGCACTATATAATTTAACCAGAGAGGTGCTGAAATCACCTAACGCTCGCCTGCACTGTTTGTCTAGAATAAGGCTAAACTCTGTATGAAAGGTATCTGTATGAAGCACAAATTACCGATCTTTTTATTACAAATTACAAGGCTAAAATCCGCGTTGGAAGGTAATATTAAGCACAAACTTCAGATATTAGTTGTGACCTCAGAATTACTGGCCAAAACTGGCCTCGGAATTACATTAGTTTTATTTGTGACCAATATTTCTTCCGTTTCTCGCAATCCGCGCACGTGATATCAACAGGTAAGTTAACGGACCAGGCAAAAGTCCCTGCTTTAAGCCGGGCGCACACACAACGATTTTACGGTAGTTGGTCCATTCAGGTTTAGACATATAGGCAGCGCTTATGCCCAGACATGTTTTCCTTCTCGCGGCGCTCGCGCCTCGCGCGTGTACGCGAGTCTACTTGGTCTAATCTGACCAAGTATAGATTGCCAGTCGCCACATTTTGATGAAAACATCCATCTAGACAATCTAGACAGGAATCGGCCGACTAAAATCGTCGTGTGTGCGCCTAGCTTTATGAAATAAACAAGATTGGATTTTTATATCTACACAAAAAAGGATTATGCATCAAACAACGAAAAGGTATGTACATAAATCTTATAGGTAGTTCAAAGTGCCCTGTCTACAATTTAACTGGCTTTAATAATATATTCGCATGTGTATCTACATAAATAATATGCAAATATATGTCACATGCCTTGCCTTTGCCTTTGCATTCCGAGCCTATCGGCTTTCTACTTATAAATACTTATGTGCTAAAGCTTGTAATTGCGAATTATCTGACAATATTCTTTAAACTTTAACGTTGGACTATGTTTTATATATATTCACTCCCTGAATGATTTCTATATTAAGCGATTGAATTTTGATACGGCATGTCACAACACAATCTCATAATTTATAATTGTACATGTACAATGCAAACAAATGGTAGCATACAGGTGAAAATATTTGAAAGTTTCTCATTTGGCTTAGGGTTGTACAAATACTTTCATTAAATATGATTCAGCTACAACTTTGAACTAAAAAAACAGGGCTACACAATATCCCTGAAAATCGTAATGAGCGTGATAACTCTGGATAACTCTAACATTGACCTTATCATGATGCTAATAAGCTTAACATTTGCCTTATCATTTGATAATTTTGAGCAAAGCTCTCTTTATTATTGTATAAATGTGTACCAAATGGCACTGAATAGTCACAATGCATATCGATGACTTATATTTATGATGATTCCTCTGATGTAAAGCCATAATATTTAAAAATATAGCATCTTAACATTGACCTTATCATTATGCTAATTAGCTTAACATTCACCTTATCATTTGATAATTTTGAACAAAATTCCCATTATTTTTGTGTAAATGTGTACTAAATGTCACCATATAGTCACAAGACATATCGATGAGCTATATTTATGATGAATCTTCTGATGCAAAGCCATATTTAAAAAATATAACATCTTAACATTGACCTTATCATTATGCTAATTAGCTTAACATTCACCTTATCATTTGATAATTTTGAGCAAAACTCTCTTTATTATTGTATAAATGTGTACCAAATGGCACTAAATAGTCACAATGCATATTGATGACTTATATTGATAATGATTCCTCTGATGTAAAGCCAAAGTATAGAAAAAATATAGCATTTTAACATTGACCTTATCATTATATTTTGTTGTATAATGTTCACTCCCCCCTGGTAAATGGTTCTTTTGCAACAAATAGACTCCTTAAGTAGATAAGTTGAAAATAATGGGAAAATAAAAGTGGCATTCTACTTATCATGTAGTGTGGACGCGGACGGGGACGGGGACGGGGACGGGGACGGGGACGGGGACGGGGACGGGGACGGGACGGGGACGGGGGGACGGGGACGGACGGGACGACGGGACGGGACGGGGGGACGGGGACGGGGGGACGGGACGGGACGGGGACGGACGGACGACGGACGGGGACGGGGACGGACGGACGGACGGGACGGACGGACGACGGGACGGGGACGGGACGGGGACGGACGGGACGGGGACGGGGACGGGGACGGGGACGCGGACGCGGACGCGGACGCGGACGCCAAGACTATAGCAATAGCTCTCTTGCACTAAAGTGCAGGCGAGCTAAAAATGCGTAAATATTTTTATTATCATGCATATTATATACGATAATATCGCAAGCGGAACTTTTTGAAAAGTTAAAATATGCAAATATTGGCTCCGGGGTCGGCGTTATGAAAAGAGTTAGACAATTTATTTTGTGATGTATGAAAAATGGTGCAATTCTATCGTGCTCCCATATTTTGATAATTTTTCACCATTAAGAGACAACTACGGAAGTTTATTAAAAGAGAAATCGCAAAAATTGCAAAATAGGGCAGCCATGGTTATGACGCCAGTTACGATATCAGGGCGTCAAATATGTTCTAAATTAGAAAATTAATGTTCTAAAATACCTCATTTGGTATGTCAGTGGTGACGTAGATAAACGAGCAAACTCATTCTTAAATTTCTCAGAATACGCCCGCCGCTGCCGGGAATATAAGTTAATTAACACGATTCAAAACGCCCTTCGTGGAGACGCTTCAGTTTGTTCTAAATAGGAAGGTGTTGCATCTTATACGCCGTAACGGTAATGCCCTCTTACGCTGTTAAAGTTCTATGATCACAGCACC